TAAAGATAAACTTACAAGTAAACTGCTTAACTTTAAAAACCTTTCTAAACAAATTAATTCTTCATTTATTGTACCGGAAAAATTATTAAAAATTTGTGGTAAATAATTTACTCTTTTTATCATATATATTTCAATTTTAATCGGTAAACCTTTACTTATAATTTTTTAGATTCTACCACTCTCGATTTTTCAATTTCTGATGACGATTGTAATAATATTTCACGTGCGTATTTAATAATTTAATTTAATTTTTTATAAAAATAATAATATTAATTTATCTATTTAAATACTATTTTTATAGCCAATAGTAAAGTATTATAGACAATAAATAAATCTTATTTAATAATAGTTTATTTATAAAAGATAAAAAATATAGCAAATCTTATAAATAAAATTAGAATTTAAATAATTTTTTGATAGTATAAAATCAAATTTTCTTATATATAAAGGCTAAAATTTCTGTTATTGTATTTATATATTAGTTATATATGGGTTCCACAACAAAGGTAGTGAAGGGTCAAAAAAAATTTTTTTGTAAAAATTTTATTTTGCAAAAATTAGATTATTTAAAACACAATAGCATATAAAAATTTTTGACCCATTATCACCTTTTGCTGTAAGGCTCCATATATATAGTTAAATAAAATAAAAAATAAAATTAGAAAAGTTTATTTTTATTATCATAGTATTTTGTTATTTTTATCGTGATTATACAAAAAATTACTATTTTATATTTTAATATACAGTAGAATATAAAATAAAAATATAGCAAACCTTATAAATAAAATTAGAATTTAAATAGTTTTTTGATATATAGTATAAAATCAAATTTTTTTATGGGAAATTATAGGCATCTCTCACAGGAGATATATCTCCCAGAATCCTTTAAAGTCTATTTACGTTAGAATAGCATTAGATTAAGGTTAGAGGTAAATAGATTACATAGTGAATTTGCTCAAGGAAAACTTTTCATTAGAACACAAAAGTAGGTTTCTTATGCGTTTTTTTGAAAAATAAGCGATTTTTTCTTTAAACGAACGTTTGTTTTGAATTTTCTTGATCATGTTATGTTGCACTAAATTGTGGATTGCTATTGGCAGTAGATATACATCTCCCTATAGAGATATATATCTCCCGTGAAAGATGCCTAGAAGCACCCTTTTTTTATATATAAAAGCTATTTTTAAAATTTTTTATTGTATTTAATAGTTAAAGTATTGCTAACTTGTCTCTAGTTAATGTAACCACTCTCTTATTATAACTTAAAACAGCTTAATTAGCCTATCTTTAACTCTAATCCTAAATTTTTATATTTGTTTTGATATTAATTTTAATTTTTAATTTTAAAAATTTATAATAAATAAAGAAGTTTAATACTCTCTGGTAGTAAATTTCACCAGTCTAATCAGAATTAAAGATCAGATATAATATGCAAATCAATTTTGTATAACAAAAATAAAAAACTTTTAAAAAATTGCTATTAATATATGAAACCAGCATTGATACTTTAATAAAAAAAATCTCTTGCAAAATTTTACTATAACCTATACTCTTATTTTAACTTAGTCTTTAATTTAACTTTAATATTAAATAGATTTATTTTTAGTTTATAAAAATTATTTGATGGGTGTGGCAATTTAGTGAAGTTGATAAGTTGTTATATCTTTAAGCAGCAGGACAAGAGTTCAAATCTCACTGGTGACAAAATTCAAATTTATGGAATATATTATAGCAGACTGTATAATATGTTGATTAGATTAGCACCTGTAACCTTGGTTATACTAGCTTGTACTAGGAGGTTGTGTAATAATAGTATGACATATGAGTTATACAAATCCTGAGTGAAGCAGCTAAATTAATCTAAAAGATCAGGTAATACAGAAGCCTGCTTGGAAAGTAGTGCTCCTATGGACCAAACTCAAACCAGACTTTAGTCAAGTCTGAGTCTGGTCTGATTTTCAGATTAGACTCAGACTTTTATATTTAAACTTTTTAATCAAGTCTGAGTTTGGTTCAGGTCTGGTCTAAAGTCTGCAGACTAGTTTGAGTTTAAATATATTTATATGTATTTTTATATGCTGAACAAATTTACTTAATACATAAAATTAGAATTAATTAGTAAATTTTTGAGAATTATAAGATTTTATAAAATTTTATTAATAAAATTTTACAAAATCTTATGATTCTTAAAAATTTACTAATTAATTCTAACTTCATGCACTAAATAAATTTAAACCAGCAGAGTTATTTTTATTTTACTTGAAATTTGAAAATAAAATACTTAATTTTAAATTTTTAATTAAAAAATCTAAAATTAATAATTGTCTTTATGCTCACCCAATAAATTAAAACAAATAAATAATTTTTAAACAATAATAAAGAAGTAAGTATTTATAAACATGATTTGTAAATATAGTTTGCTGTTTTTAAATTCTACTAATTAATAAATCACTTTATACTTATAAACTAAATTAATAGCCTTGTTTATTTTATTACCAATTATTTTGTTGATATGTTGTTTTACTAACAAGTTTCTTTTACCAATGATTAATTTATCAACAAGTTTATTTTATTAATATGAATCGATGATCTCATTTCTATTTTCTAAAAAAAAATTTTACAGTTTTTAATTTTTAAACCCGGCCAGATTATGTAAACCAAGAAAATTTTTTGTATAGCCTTATATTAAATATAAATATAAATATATATAATTATATTTTTGATATAATAATATAAATTAACTAATAATTTAACCAAAATATAATTTTTATATTACTGTAACTAAACATTAATACTTTAAACAATAAAGTTAAAAGCATATTGTAATATTAGTAATAAAAAATACAACATTTCTAGAATGCTATAAAAATATTAAAAAAAATTCTTCTAGTAATTATATTTTATGGATTTTACTAAAACACACCTATGGTGTTTTACACCTATGTATACATTATCTCAAAAACTGACTAATTAATTGGTGTGAGGTGTTCTAAGTAAAAATGTTCTACGCCTTCAAAAACCCTTCCCAAACTCTAATTCTAACCTTAATATTAACTTTAACGTGAAAAAATTGGTGTTAAAAATTTTATATACAAAACTTATAAAACAGAAAATTTTAAAAAACATAATAAAAACATATAATAGGTGCAATACCACCATAGGAGCGTTTTATAATAATTGATATTTTATTTTAGAGTATATAGTATTACAAATAGAATAAAATAAAATAAAAAATAAATCAACATTATTATATTAAATTGCTTCTGATCTTTAAATAATCTATTTCTAAAAACTTATCTATAAAAATACTCTACAAGATAATTTACATATTGCTTATATTGCAAACTTAGAATTTTAACATCAACAAATATGGTATTGAATGCAGAAAGATCAATATTCAACAGTATTTGATATTTACATATTTTTATTTTACAATCAAAATTTTGAAATATAGAAATATACCATAATAATTTACTGTACAACTAAAGATATTCCACAATGTTACATAAGCTTAATGAAAAGAGAATCAATAAACTGCCTATTAGCAACACAAATCTGTGAAATCCTTACAGAATAGATGAATAATGAAAATATTATATAAAAGCAAATTTATTAAGTATCATTACTTTATTAAAAGTATTTATATTTTTTCTGCAATAACTAAATTTTTATTCTTTATTATTAATTATAATTATTTGACAAATAGCGGTTAAAAATTTGAATATTACAGAATGATATAAGCAAATTTTTCAAAAAAATTTTTTATATAAATCGATTTAAAATAAGATAAATAAGAATCATTTTCACTTAAAATACAAAGATAGTTGTATTAATAAATTTTGTATCTTCTTATTTTGATTAACATAAATTAATCAATCATGATTGTCTTTTTATAACTTTTGATTTCTCGTTAATACCAGTATTGTTAGATTTGTTCTAAGCTGGTGGGTATTAAACATTAGTGTAAAAAATGTGCTAAATTCCAAACATAATGTTGATTCAATATAAATAAAGCTAAGTATGACCTATACTGTTATCTCCTGATAAATTATTGTCACGACCGATGTTGAAATTTTACTCATTTTAAATTTTTTTTCTGGGATTGATAATCATATAAGAGTATAAGTAGACTTTAGTAGATTTATAAATTCAAGTAGTATATTCAAATGGAGACTCAAATTTCGGTATCAGTCGTGATAATTATTCATAAATGACTACATTTCATCTTCCAAGTCATTAAAGATTAGCTCTAAAGATTTTCTCTCGTTCCACAGCTTCCGGATATCCTCAACCGTGAACAATTCTGAATTTACCTCGGTAACATAACCAGTAATCAGACCGGGCTCTAATCTTTCAAAATATATATTTCTAGCTCGTATATTTTTACAATTTTTCCATTGATCACTATAAATTTCTGTGACTTCACTTGCATCATTTTCTTCTACCTTCTCATCATCATATTCCCCAGCAATTTTATCCGTACGTGACACTACGTATACTGGTTTTCCATGATGTTTGGCAGCCAATGCTAATGGAACAGATCCGATCTTGTTTATTACGGACCCATCATACCCTAAAATACGATCAGCTCCAAGCAAGACATGAGTCACCGTTGGCATGAAAAAATCACATGATGAGTCCGTAATAACTTGTATACTCACGGTTCTACTCTGTTGTGGTAACAAGGATGATAATTTTTGTCCTAGAATTGCACCCTCATTTAAAGGTCGCGACTCCAAAATAGTAATTGTAAGTGTTCTAGAGCATTCTGAATTATTAGGAACTTTTTTAATATAATCCTTAATAAGGTTAGTGAGAGCAGACAATATTGTAGAGGAATAACTCATTGTTATAATATGTAACGATTGATCATCAAATTTAGGAAATAATGCCGTAATAAAAGTTTTGTTGATTTTTTGTTCTGCCTCATGAGATAATATTTTTGTTGCTTTTATAATATCAAGAACTTGATTATCAAATGAATCCATTGATGGAACCTGCTCTAAAACTTTTTTACATTGTTGCATGATTGACAATATCATATATAACGTAGAGGCCTTCATATTAGGTCTGATTTCGCATAAATGCCAACCGATATTAAGATACGCAAAATACAAATCCTTGGAGCTTTGAGAATATTCGTGATATGACTTATTTTCTATAGTTTCTGCAAAAATATCTAAGGCTTTACTTGCCAATTGTTGGGCACCAGAAGATCTGTCGGTAAACATATCAACCAAACCTAAATGTACATTTTTTGGAAGATATACTCTGTAAAAGGCTTCTATCAAATGTGGGACAGTATTGTAAGAATGCATTTCATCAGGATTGATCCATTCAAAAGTTTCGTGTTCCCAGTCTATTTTAATCTTGTTGATATTACCAGATTGAATGCGAAAAAGGAATGGATAGACTTTCCATATTGTAGAAATATTTTCAGCACGAATAGTTAAAGGTTTACCACTACGTATTAGTTTAATATCCGACGAACTCAAAGTGGTTTCTTCTTGTATTTCGATCAAAGCACGTTCCAATGGCGAACTATCGTTGGCCTCCATTCCACCACTGACTCCTGCCCAATGATGTCTAACGATATTATTAGATATAAATAATAAAAGTAATATTCATTCAAGGTAACTCTTACTTATAAGTATTAACTTTATCACTACGCTTTAAGAGCAAAACACGATCTCCTTGACCATTTAGATCGTCGTCTCCTTCAGAAAAGGTTAGAAAGGAAGTGACCGTCGTTCTTTGTTTCATTATGTCTGATAAACTAAAGAATGGCAACTGAAAAATTTGAACAGTACACCGATACTTATCATTTGATGAAATTTTCACATGACCTAATCTGATTTTCGATTCCGATTAGGGATTGGAACCGTTTAACCGTTTAAAAATTGCTCCATAATTCCGGGCAGAATTATGTTGGTCGTGGGCCGGAATTATCTTAATGCCGGCCAAGTTAAACGGTTAAACGATTAAACGATTAAGAAAAATTTTAGGCGGTTCCAATCCCTAATTCCGATCAGATAAACATGGAATGCGTCAAGGATAGCACGGAATTGTTGCAGAAAGTAGAGATACAACACGGAACTATCACAGAAGAATTATAGCAAAATCTATAATTTGTTAAAATAGAATTTTCGAAAAGTCCTAAAATACAGAATAACGCAGTAATTTCATTACTACGCTCCTGGTATTTGCGTAATGATAATATATTGTGACCGTGTTAAACTTTCCGAGGATAATGTATATGAGTGTCGCTAAAAGAAAAACCGAAATTTTGAATATGACTTATATTTAAATTTTCGGGTTTTCTTTTAACGACACTCATAAATTTCTTAACACTTACATAAATTACATATGGTTGAGTCAGTAGAAATCAAGCAAATTTTGTCTAATTTTTTTAAAACTTAAACAATTCAACAAAAACTTATTTTATTGAATTTGATCAAGTTATGGTTAAGTTATTGGTGTATAAATTGCTTGATTTCTACTGACTCACCCCATATACTGGTATATAATTAGTATTATAGGCTTAAGAATTAAGTTAAATATTGCTGATATTTAATAACTACAGACGCTTTATTTCTAATTTAATCTTGAACGATAATGAAAATGTAAATTATTTTTTATATTCGTAATATGCTTAAAACTAAGCCTATCATTCTGAATATAGAGTATATATGTTAGAAATTAACCATTAATATCCTGATATCTGTATTCTGACCTATTTCTTTAATATTTAAATCGAGATCGATATTTCTTTGACGTTCAATCTTTAAAATAATACCGGACCCGTTAATTATAAATCGGTGTTACGAATAGTTGTGGTGTAGTGGTGTGTCGGTATACTACAAAATCGCATTATATAAAGCTACTCATAATATTATATGTATAAAATAGTATAGTTGCAAATCATTTAATAGACAAATCTCCAGTCAACTGAACAAAAATTTTTTTTTTATATATAAATTTTATTGTAAGCCCGAATGTGGAGCGCCTCTAAGATAGAGGTGCTCCACATTCGGGCTTATAATAAAATTTACATATAAAAAAAAAATTTTTGTTTAGTTGACTGGAGATTTGTCTATTAATTATAATTTTATATCAAATACGTATCAGTATGGTTCAGTAGCAAAAAAAGATTTTAGCAAAAAATCAAGATTTTTACAGAATTGTATATACGGTTCTACCAAAAATCAAGATTTTTACATTTATTGAATATTATTTATATTACATAAGCTCATATTTAATGTTAACGAAATATATAATTTGCTTTATTCAATTAATTAGAGATTTTTTTTTTTATAAAAAAATGTTTTTTTCGAGAATAAACATTCTGATTTGTTTGTCCTGAATATTTTGATGTGGTGGTTATAGTTATTAAACAAAATCTAGAAGTTTCATACTAGTGAAGTCGAAACTCTAATTTTGAATTTTGCTAAAAAACATGAAATGGTGAAACTGCACAATATGGTAAAGCTGGAAAAATGCAACGAAACTAGAAATTGGCGAAATCAATAAAACTAAAGGTTGTAAAAACTAGTAAATCTTAAGAAAATTTAAATTAGTCTTTCATCTTAATACATTTTCCAATCATATGTAAAACACAATTAGAACAGCCTTTATTAAAAATTAAAATTGTATTTTTAATTTGAGTATTTTGTTTGGCATTGTATAGCCAACAATTAGAATGATAAGTAAAAAAAAAAAAACAGGAAAAACAAGCACAGGTAGAACTATCAAACTTTTTCAAATATATTATATTAGAAGATTTTTGTAAAAAATCGTAAGTCATTCCAAAAGTTTTTCAGCAATATTTATAATTAATAAAACTACCGATATATCATTAGAAAACCTTTGTATTTATCTTCAAATTAAAATAGAAATATGCATAAAATTTTTCTAAAAAACAAATAGAAAACATTCAAAAACTAATAAAAAAACCTTAAGAATATGTCATGTGGTATGGGTTTAGAGGTGCAGGGGTTATGATGACAGACTAAATGAGTAATTTAAAGTCTATTTTGACAATTTAGTAGTAAAATAAATAAATAAATAGAATGTTCGATCAGTGCATGATCAAACTTTACTTTATTTTCTTAAACAAACTTGTATTTTCTTAAACAAGCTTGTATCTCTTAGACTAAATTGTATTTCATAAACAAACCTGCATTTCTCGAGCAAACTTTATTTCCTAAATAAATAAATATCAGCATCATATATTGTGAACAAATTGAGAGGTTGATAATATGAAAATTTAGTGAATAAATTACCCTGTGGATAAATGTACCGAGTGCGAAGATTATAAAAGCAAGCATTTGGTAGACTTTTAGTAGACAGATATTAATTAAATCGACAATATCTTCATTTTTTACAATGCCCAAGTGTCTTTGTTTAAAATGTTATCCGATAGGTGGCAAACTTTTATTATAGAGAACTTGATGGCAACACCAAAAGCAAAATACTCATCATACATTTTCCATCCCAATACATTCGCTATTTAACCAGCGTTAGCCTATTTCAGCAACAAATCAAACTTTCAATTCATGGAATGATTATTTAGGTTTAAATAGTAAATATGAGATTGAAGAAAATAAAATGAATTATTTCAATGATGAAAGTAAACTGGATTATTCTGACAATACACAGAACGATGAATTTGAAAAAAATAGTATAAATACAGAAAAGTCATCTTTGTATATGAATAGTATAGAAAATATTATAGTGTTTTAAGAACGTAGTAAGGTAATTAAAAGTACTGTCTTTAAATTTTAATAAAAACTTTTCAGCTTAATATATATATTTAAATAAATTAATAGTCAGTAACAAATAGTTCATCTTGTAAATCAAAAAGATTGCTGTTGATACAACTAAATAATTTGTTAACAAATAATTTTACTCAAAGTGAACATGATTGTAATTTAAGTCAAAACAAAGATAATGATTCAAGTCAAAGCGAAAATAATAATTCTGGTCAAAATGAAAATAATAATTCTGATCAAAGTGAATGTAATATTAATTGAGATATTGAAGAAGATATTAATGAAGAAACTGATATTGATGACAAAACTGATGAAGATGATATAAAAATGCTACAATCACCATTAAAAATATTAATTATGATACTTTTCCAGAACCATCATATAATCCAGTACAATTTTTATACAATCCTCTACTTTTGAAAGAAAACTATGTGATACAATAGATTATTCTTGTGTTATTTTTATTTCAACAATCATTCATGATTACCAAAACTAAAATTATGACTTTAATTATCATTTTTCGTCATGTATTAATATTTTTAAACATATCTCAATTTTAAAATTTTCCAAAAAGCAAACATTATACTGAAAAAATTATTGTGTAACCCAATTCTATTCTCAAATATACTGTATGTTTACATTGCCATTCTCTCTATTTGCTAACAGATTTGCATTTAAATACTATGAAATATACAAAATATCTTAAATGTAGAAAATTTTAACGAAGACTATAAGAAAATCAGAAGGTAAACTTAAGTATAAAGTTAAGTTACTTTACTACAAAGCTTTTTATTAACCAAAACTAATATAAATCTAATATTTATATTAGCCTTTAGCAATTTACTCTTACTAATCTATTAGCACAAGACTTGTATCGATATTAGTAGATAAATCAAATGAAAAATCAATGGATTTGCCATTTAAATGACAAGTTGAAGAGAGCATATTGGGTGATGTCTATGATGGGAAAGTTTGGAAGGAATTTTTAGATGAACAAGAAAAACTTTTTTTCATAAGAGACAGTACTGATGTTCGAATTAGATTAGCTTTTAATTTTGACTGGTATACCCTATATAGCCAAGTTTTTTTTTTTTTTTTTTTTGTTTTTAAGGTGACTTCTTTGCCACGCTGCTCTTTATTCGAATATTAGTAGTATTTTTAACCGTCAGACATATCTGACGGCTGTACATATTTGTAGAGTACA